GCTGGTTTGTTGGTTGTGTTGTTCAGGGTGTCGAACTGGATTTTATTATTTGAGGGATTATTTTGTCGTATTAGTCGAGCTATGTGGCTTTAGTGGTGGTTTTATTTGTTGTGGATGTGCTCTTGATTTTGAGCTCTATGCCTTCTTTTTGAGGCTCGGTGGTGGTAGTTGTACTTTGCCCTCTTGGCCATTGTTGTTAGTTCTTCCTTTGCATTTTGTTGGCTCTCCTTAGGACATTTTTTTGCTCCCTCTTGATCGTAAAAAACTATCCTTGCATACCTAATGGTTCGTTCCTTCTGTTTTTCTTGTTTCCTTACTTCGGCTTTTCAGGTTTTGTTTCAGGTTTGTTGTTTTTCCCTTATATTTTCCTACTTTCTGTTATATTTCTTCATCTTCTTTTATCTCTTTCTTTACGTCAGCTTCCTGCTCCTTCTAGTTTTTCTTCACTTGGTTATTTTTGCCCAGTTTTATTAGCTCCTTGCAAGTTCCAGCTGGTTCTTCTTGCGTTGTTGCCTTAGCAGCTTTTTGGTTCCAACAGTTTCTTACACTTTAGGTGATTCAGTTTGCTACTTCATAGAGCTTTTTTTTTTTTTTTTTTTTTTTTTTTTTTTTTTTTTTTTTTCTTTTTTTATTTTTGGTGTATTCTTGGGGGCGAATCCCCTAGATTTTTGTTTTTTTTTTTTTTTGGGTGTAATTACTCTGTACTTTTTGTTTCGGATATATAAAATTCTCTTCAGGTTTCTTAAAAAAGGATTAATTAAAATGTATAACATTGCAAAATAAAACCATTGAGTCTAAAAATCATCCCAATCAAAAAATTTTGATTCTGGCTAATTTCATATTTATTCACAAATTTTTATATCGAAAATATGTCAGTCCTAATCCTGATGAGATCTAACAGTTCAAAAGAGGAGTGTACAACAAACGAATAACCACCGACAAAATACCAAGTAGCCCACTCAACCGACCAGATGTAGCCGTCAGAGACAAAGGAAGCCAGACCAAAGCCGACTAAATCACGAAGACAACCGAATGATTGAAACAGAGTCATTCAATCATAAACAAGACAAAGAGACATCAAGTCAATTGGCGTAAGAAGCAGACTCAAGCGAAGATCTAGCCCATCGGCATCTCCAATCATGCGGGATTGCCCGAAAGCTTCTCCATTTATTACCAAACGTCGACAGCCAGACTAACTCAGCCGATCGAATCAGTCATGCCACCTTGAAACGTATTAGCAACACCAACTAAGCCAAGTCGATCAAACTGGTCCCACCAAGTTGAATTCATACAAGGTCAGCTGAACAAGTCAGATGACAATTGAGTTATAGACTCATACCTATAAAATACTTGGAATACTCTGTACAAGCATCATTAAAGTGTTATGCGAAAACATAGAAATTCACACAGCAACAATCTAACACAATAGATTTACGTGGTTCGGCATTAAGTTGATTCACTTATAACTAAGGGGAATGAAATTTCACTAGCATCAGATGGGGAGAAAGAAAAAAGCTAGGTGTTACCAGATGGGCTAATCAGTGCCAAAACCTCGCAAGATCTAATTTATAGCCATGGAGGTAGCGGTCCAAAGAGTGGGTGTGACTTGGAGGCAATGACCTTGGAATATGAGTATGCACGAGGTGCAGTGACTCCACGGTAAATCTTATGGCAATCCAATGTGATGCCATAGTGCAAGTGCAAGCCCTCCCTGACATGGACACATGGGTATCGAGGGCAGATGTGTGAAAACAGTGAACCAAGCAAAACTCAAACATGCAAAACTATGGACATGCAAGATGACATACAAAACAGACAAATGACAATGTACTAGTGCAAGTGCAAACACTAGTGTCATGGGGGCACCGTGACATGGAGATGTCACGGAGCAAACAAGTGGAGTAGCGTGCCCATGAGAGGCGCAAGTACTCGATATGAGCATATGAGGGCATATGCTTATAAGTGCACAGTAAGGGTGCAAGAGTTGAATATGTTAATGCAAACCATACAAAACAAACACGATGCAAGTAAAATTGGTTATTCGACCTGTTTGGTCGATTGGGGTGATCAACCCGATATAACATAGTCAAATGGGCTCAGTCGAGCTAAGACGGCCGACTGGACCAAAGTGATTGGTCGACCAGATCAGGGCGACTGGTTGAGGCAAAGCGCAATGTGCCATGTCGACCGGGTCGGGACGATTGGTCGAGCTAAAGTGAAATGTGCAAAACACGTGATATGCAATACAATAGTGAGTCATACTCGACTAACGCTCTCACATAGGTATCTAGGGTCTGGCACATGGATATGCGACATAGCCGCCTCCTACTTTGGAGAGGCGTGTGGGGAGTTTCACCTTCATATTTTCAAAAGAAAACACTCCACAATGTTGTGGAATAGATAAGCTACAAAGCTTTTTCTATTCCACAACTCCTCATGACTTTGCAAAATGAGTTAACTACAAAGCTTTCTCACATCAGAAATTCAAGTATCCCAACCTCCCTAAGGATGGTTGGAAATGCCAAAGAGAGAGAAAATTGAGATTTTGACCCGCTTAGGCTAAGGCCAAGGCTTATCACAAAAAAATCAATCGACTTCGCAATGGATTGGCCACGAATGTGATTCCTAACATAGGGCTTCCTCTAATAAATAAACAACCAATCAATAGAAGTGTGGTTGTGCCGAATAGCGTCGGTCGGCCAACTTACCTAGTGTGAGTGACCAAACCCATGGCGACACCACAAAATTAGTCAATCAGAAGGAGTTTGACCTAGCTGACTAGTGTGGGCCAGCCAAACCCGCCTCATGTGGACGACCAAAACCCACCACATCTAGAAAACTCTATTCATAGGTCTAACTAAGAAAGAAAACACGAGTGATTTTAGAGAATCTCACCAAAGAGGCATTTGTTGTCGTGTTTCTTCACGTGGGATGAAGCTCTCCTAGTGGTGGGAGAGAGGAAAACACTCCGGTCCTCCAAAGAACAAAGAAGCTCTCCTTTAGAAGTAGAGTCGGGTGAGATTCCGCGGAAATTCTGAGCTCCAGCAAAGCTCCGACGATCGTTGTTTATGCCAAAAAAGAGTACTTGGGAGCTCAACCATTGTAAAGGATGTTTTCTTTGAGCTATGGAGTCCTCAATATTTTGCCTTGGGGCACAACCGTTGGTAAGGATGTCTTGGCATGTTTATTTTTATTTGTGTTGTTATCTTAGCTTTCTATTTGGAGCTTTGATATATTCTCTAATACTGGATAGAATCCTTCTTTTGGGATTCAACCGCATTTACAAAATATATAATTTTTTGGCTGGCAAGTCCCTTCCTTAAGTATATTCAGTCGAGCATCTGTCAGAGAAGCAAGATAAGAAAAGTTAAAAAGATACTTCCCTTTTCATACAAGGGATCTTTACAACTTTTGCAGTATCTCTACTTGAGTCCGGATCACTTCTGAAGATCTATATTTGTTATTTGTTGTTTGGAGAACTTCTTCCACTGCTATTTAGCTCCTTGAAGATTATTGTTAATTCTGGAAGTTTATTTTAGATCACGTGTATCTGTTGTTTACTGCTAGGAGTTCTTATTCAACATATATTTAGCTCCTACCAAGATTTATGAGTTTTCAGGATGTTCAAACTTGATCTCTTATGAAGAATTGGAGCTGGCCTTTGTCTGTTTGGACATCTTTATACATTGAAGTTCAACTCCTACATAAAGTTCTGATTTTTGGATGCTCTGTGCCTCTATCACCATTTAGCTGACTTTGTTATGATTGTTTTTGTTTTTCTAATTTAAATAGCTGCTGATTTTTATTCATCTTTTTTTTTTTTGGTATTGATATTTTCAACATTCTCTATAATAGTTTGAACTACGATTGGAACATTGTTCGAACCTTTTTTGAACAACATAAAAAAAGTTTTGAATGTTTGATCATTAAATATTTTCATCAATTAAAATGAATTTTAATCAATATTCAAACTTGAAATTTAATCTATCATCCTAAAAGGTTTAAAAAATTAACTACCAAATTTGTTAGAAAAATATTCTTTTTTTTAGTAAATTAAAATGCCCACAATATTTTTAAAAAAGTAACATTATACATACCACAATATTATTGCAATATTAATGAATTTTACTGCATTATGGATGATTTTTAGTGATTTTTTATTTGGTCTGTTTCAAGTTTTTTTGTTTTGGCTTATTTGTTTTTTGTTTTATCTAATGTGTTTGAGATTATCATTTTGTAGTTGTTGTTTCAAAGGTTTATATTGGTATTTGTCGCTGTTTTTTATTGTTGATATTTCTCCCACTTTTATTCTGCTTTTAGGATTCTGATATTTTCTATGTATTCTTCTTTACTTTTGTCTTCTTTTGATCTTCTATGGAGTTGGCATTGAATGTTGGTCTTCTGCCTCAATTAATTAAATCAACCAATTTCAGAATATTTTATTATATTTATTTTATTCTTATAGAGTGTTGCTGCGATATGTTGTTCTCAATGATTTATGTTGGTGTTTTGACGTTCTTTTACTGCCGCTGTTGTTGGAAAAAATACTACCTTAGGAGTACTAATGCATCAGTACTCCAATGAGGAGGTGCCACGTGGCATTATGGTGGGATCATTGCATATGTGGCACCTCTTCATTAGAGTACTGATGCATCAGTACTCCTGAGGTAATATTTTTTCCTGTTGTTGACTTGTTGTTTAGCCTCATTTTTCCGAAAAAATATTACCTCAGGAGTACTGATGCATCAGTACTCCTGAGGTAATATTTTTTCGGAAAAATGAGGCTAAACAACAAGTCAACAACAGGAAAAAATATTACCTCAGGAGTACTGATGCATCAGTACTCTAATGAAGAGGTGCCACATATGCAATGATCCCACCATAATGCCACGTGGCACCTCCTCATTGGAGTACTGATGCATTAGTACTCCTAAGGTAGTATTTTTTCCAACAACAGCGGCAGTAAAAGAACGTCAAAACACCAACATAAATCACCTAGATTTTAGATTATGTTTTTTTTTTTTCTCAATAGTTTCTTGTTTATCTTCGTTCATTTTGTTGAGAATTGATATTGAGCTATGATGAATTCCATCAATTATTAAAATTCTACCGGAATTTCATTTCTGAGGGAAGTTCTGCGCTCAATTTTTTCTATTATAATACTCTGTTTTTTTTTTTTTTTAGTTTCTTTTGTTTTCAATATGTTTCATGTTTTTTTCTTTTTAAAAAAGATCTTTCTCTTTAGTTATATCCTATTTTTTGATGAGTGCTCTTTTGTTCGAGATGTTTTAACAGGTTCAATAATTTTGGCCTGCATGTTCAGAGTTGTTGCTGGTGCTGCTTCAATTGGTGGCTACATTGTGTTTTATTTGTTCTTTCTTTTGGATGTTTCCTTGGTTACTGGAATTATTTTTTGCTTTCTATGTTCTTCTTTCTGCGTTCTATTTCTAGTCTGTACTCACTGTTGTCTTTTATCTTGTAAATGGCAATGTTTCTCAGTGCTCTTTATGTAATTATCCTAATTATTTTAATACCAAAATTTTCCTAATATTAAGCTCTGCTGCAGTGCTTCCTTAACCAGCCGGCGCCTTCACTTGACTATTCTATTTTTCTGTTCCTGCTCTCCTCGCATGGCCGGCCTCACCACCACCATCACCGCCGCAGCCGCCGCGAAGCCCCATTTCATCCTAATCCCACTCATGGCCCAAGGCCACATGATCCCCATGGTCGACATGGCCTGCCTCCTCGCCGACGGCGGAGCACTCGTCACCTTCATCACCACCCCCGTCAACGCCGCCCGCATCCGCCCTTCCATCAACCGCATCCAAGCCTCCTCTCTCCCCATCTGCTTCGTCGAGCTCCGCTTCCCATCCGCTGAAGCTGGTCTCCCTCCAGGCTGCGAAAACCTAGATCTTCTCCCCGACTCCAAACTCAACAAACCCTTCGTCGAATCCCTTCCCCTTCTCCGCAGCCAGCTCGAGCTCCTAGTCGGTGACCAAATTCCCATCCCAGATGGCATCATCTCCGATAGCAAGCACGCTTGGGCCTCATCCATGGCGCGCAAACTATGCGTACCTCACATCATCTTCCATGGACCCTCGTGTTTCTATCTACACTCAACTCTCTCGATTAAACGGCATAAGATCCTGGATCGAATTAAAGATGAATTCGAACCATTTGTTTTACCGGATCTGCCGCAGAGAATCGAGATGGTGAGGGCGCAGGTAGAGAGATGGGTGGATTCGCCGACGTGGGAGAAGCTGAGAGACGAGTGTTACGCCGCCGAGGAGGCGGCGGACGGGATCGTGATCAATACATTCGAGGAGCTCGAACCCTGGTGCATAGAGATGTACCGAAAGGCGACGGGGAAGAAGGTGTGGCCGATCGGCCCGCTATCACTCTATAACAGGGAGATGGAAAGCAGAGCGAGAAGAGGGAACGAAGTACCTGTTCTCGAAGCGGAGAAGTTGCAGAGATGGTTGGACGAGAGGGACGAAGGATCGGTCGTCTTCATCAGTTTCGGGAGCCTCGCGCGGAATCCGATCGCGCAGCTGACGGAGATCGGCTGCGGGCTGGAGGCGGCCGGTGTTAGGTTTATATGGGTGGTGAAGGAAGCGGAGGTGGAGAGCGGAACGGAGGCAGGGAAATGGATGGAGGAGTTTTCGGAGAGATCGGAGAGGGAGAAGAAGGGGATCGTGGTTAAGGGATGGGCGCCGCAAATGGTGGTGTTGTCGCATCCGGCAGTGGGGGGATTCATGACGCATTGTGGATGGAACTCGATCTTGGAGGCGATATGCGCAGGGGTACCGATGGCTACATGGCCGCACTTTGCGGATCAGTTTTTGAACGAGAGGTTGGTGGTGGAGGTGTTAGGGATTGGGGTGCCGGTGGGGGCGATGGTGCCGGTGAAGCCGGCGGATGCGGAGAGGAAGGAGGCGGTGGTGGGGAGGGAGAAGGTGGGGAGGGCGGTGGAGAAGTTGATGGATGGAGGGGAGGAAGGGGAGGGGAGGAGGAGGAGAGCGAGGGAGTTTGGGGAGAGGGGGCGGAGGGCCATGGAGGAAGGGGGTTCTTCTTATGAAAATTTGAAGGGAGTGATAGAGTATGCGTGTGGCCATAAGAATAGAAGAAATGGGCATCTAAAAATATGATGGCAATTCATCTCATTATTTTGAAAAACATGGCATCATATTTCTTTTTGATTTGTGAGACAAGTAACATGAAATACAAAAATAAATTTTAATTATGCAACATGTTTTGAGTAGATATCAAGAAATCTTCTTCTTCTTGTCGTTCCTTAAAATTTCAATCGAAGGATATTTGATCGTAAATGATGTGAGTTGTTTGTCGAGGAAGTCACGACGATAGAGTTATATTAATGATTTAGCATGATACAAAAATTTAGCACACAAATGATTAAAATAAGAGCTGATAGAGGAGACGTAGATATTTTTACGTGAAAAACTTAAAAGGAAAAAAAATCTAGTTAAAATGGTTCCACTATTCAGACATATGTGATAAGTATTTGAATATAATTATGTGAGAAAATATTGGGGAAGAGGCAACGACCCGACATGGATGATAGCAAACCACAGTAGGAGTGGTGTGATGATGATATGAATTTATTAGCACCAATAGTTGTGGTCACTAGATAATAATGATGCAACAATATTAGTATCGATAGTTAGGTGATTGTGATCTCACAATGGTGATTTGACGACAAATGTCTAATGGTAGCAATGACATTAGATCGGTGTTCTTATAACAACTGCGACAATGACCAAGTAACAATAACGGCGACAATGACATCAACCCCGTATGCAGAGCTGAGTACGGTGAACTAATTAAAATCATTCTTGCCCAAAAATGTATGTAAGTGGGTCTCACTTTTAAATTTTTTTTTTAAATTAAAAATGTGCGTACGGGCTCCGTTCGTAACTTTCTCCTAGGGCTGTCAAAACAGCTCGTTGTTCGTGAACAGCTCGTGTTCGACTCGTTAAGAAACTCGTGTTCGGCTAGTTAATTTCGTTCGATAAGTTAACGAGTCGAACACGAACTAAGATGTGTTCATTCGTGTTCGGCTCATTTTGGCTCAAAATACTACTCATCAAGTTTATATATATATATAAGTAGTATTTTAAAAAAAATTAATTGATTACAAGGCTATAAAGATTTATAATCAATTAAAATATTAATTAAGAAAATAAAATAAAAATTCTTAAATTGGATTCAAATGATGTTTTAATATAAATAATAATTTTTAAATCTTGCTCAAACCCTTATCGTCTTATGGCTACGTGATTAGGGCTGTTAAAAGGACTCTTTGTTCTTGAACAGCTCGTGTTCGGCTCGTTAAGCAAACGAGCAGAACACGAACACACCTCCCGGTGGTTGACAAACAAAGGAAGTCTAATGACTGTGGAGGCTGAGAGATAGTTACCCAAAGAAGACAATAGCTTTCTGACAATAACGATTACCTAATGAAGGCAGTCTAGTGCAGCGGCAATGACAATCGAAGATGATGATACATCGATAATGGTAGTCTAACGGCGACGAAGGCAACTCGAAGATAGTAAACTTACTTTGGAAATAATGGCTCGATGTCGGTCGAGTGATGATGGTCATATGGTAGCGGTAGTCCGATGATAGTGGTCCAAAGAAGGCCCCCTAACAGGGGTAATGGTGACTCGGTGTCGATCGGTTGTTAGTGGCCAAGTGAAGACAGAAGCCCAACGATGTTGGTTCGACACAATGACAGTGGTCTGATGATGGCGGCTTGACGACGGTGGCGGTGGCTTGCGTTGATGGTCTAGTGATCGTGACTTGATAACAATCGTGGTAGCCTGATGTTGGCAGACAGAAGGTGGCAGTAGCAGCTCGACAACGATGGTTATGGCCTAACATCAGCTGTTTGTCACGGCGGCGATCGCCTAACTCAACGGTACGACACGATGACAGTGACACGACATCGGTCAAGTGATGGTGGTCTGACAAGTGCAGTGAAGCACTAGCGGTTTGGTGACGGTGGTGGTCTGGCAAAAAGGCAGTGGTGGCTCGGCGATGTTGGCAAAGAAAACGATAAAGGAGACCAAAACATAGTAGTCCAGTGACAACAACAGTTAAGCAATGGTGGCGACCCAGTAATAGTGGTCTTGTAGTGTCGACGGTCGAGCGACAACGATTGTTGGCGGTCCTATGACAGGTTCGGTCCAGCAACGATGGTATGACAACAATAGTGGCTTGACTATTGTGGTCATAAGAATAGAAGAAATGGGTCTGAAATGAACACTCAATAGAAATATTGAAGGCACCTAAAAATATGATGGCAATTCATTTCATTATTTTGTAAAACATGGCATCATATTTTTTTTTCATTTGTTAGGCAAATCACATTAAATAAAAAAAATACATTTAGTTTATGCCAACATGTTTTGAGTTTACATCAAGAAATCATCTTCTCGTCTTTCCTTAAAATTTCAATCTAAGGATCTTTCATCAGAAATGATGTCCGTTGTATGTCGGGAAAATCGTGACGATAGAGTTATATTAACGATTCGGCATTGTACAAAAATCTAGCACACAAATAATTAAAATAAAAACTGATAGAGGAGACATCAGATATTTTTACGTGAAAAACTTGAAAGTGAAAAAAGCACGGGGTTTAATATAGTTAAAATAGTTCCACTATTCGGATGTATGTTATAAGTACTTGAATATAAATATGTGAGAAAATACTGGGAAAGATGCAACGACCCGATAGGGATGATAGAAAACCAACTGTAGGGGTTGAGTGATGAAGATATGGATTCTTAACACCAATAGTTGTGATCACTAGTTAATAATGATCCAACAATATTAGTATCGATAGTCACGTGATTGTGATGTGACGAATGACGATTTGACAACAAATGTCTAATTGTAGCACATTAGAACGGTGGTCTTACAACAACTATGACAATGACAAGGTAACAATAACAACAGCAATGACATCAGCCACGTGACTGTGTTCCGGTGGTTGATAAGCAAAGGTAGTCTGACGACTGTGGAGGCCGAGAGATAATTACCCGACGATGGCCTAAAGAAGGCAGTCTAGTGCAACGACAATGACAATCGAGAGATGATGATTCATTGATGATGGTAGTCTGACGGCGACGAAGGCAGCCCGACGATAGTGATCTTATTATGGCAAAAGTGGCTCAATGTCAGTCGAGTGATATTGGTCATATGGTAGTGGTAGTCTGACCACGGTGGTCCAAAAAAGCAGCCTGACGGGGGTGATGGTGGCTCCGCGCCGACCGTATGTCAGTGGTCTAGTAGAGACAGAAGCCCAACAACGTTGATTCGGCTTGATGATAGTCGTCTGATGATGGTGACCTGTCAGCAGTGGCAATGGCAGTGGCCCGACGTAGTGGTCTAGTGATAATGACTTGTTGACAACGGTGGTAGCCTGAAGTTGGCGGACAAGAGGTGGCAGTAGCTCGATGACAGTGAAAAACTTGAAAGTGAAAAAAGCACGGGGTTTAATATAGTTAAAATGGTTCCACTATTCGGATGTATGTTATAAGTACTTGAATATAAATATGTGAGAAAATACTGGGAAAGATGCAACGACCCGATAGGGATGATAGAAAACCAACTGTAGGGGTTGAGTGATGAAGATATGGATTCTTAACACCAATAGTTGTGATCACTAGTTAATTATGATCCAACAATATTAGTATCGATAGTCACGTGATTGTGATGTGACGAATGATGATTTGACAACAAATGTCTAATTGTAGCACATTAGAACGGTGGTCTTACAACAACTATGACAATGACAAGGTAACAATAACAACAGCAATGACATCAGCCACGTGACCGTGTTCCGGTGGTTGATAAGCAAAGGTAGTCTGACGACTGTGGAGGCCGAGAGATAATTACCCGACGATGGCCTAAAGAAGGCAGTCTAGTGCAACGACAATGACAATCGAGAGATGATGATTCATTGATGATGGTAGTCTGACGGCGACGAAGGCAGCCCGACGATAGTGATCTTATTATGGCAAAAGTGGCTCAATGTCAGTCGAGTGATATTGGTCATATGGTAGTGGTAGTCTGACCACGGTGGTCCAAAAAAGCAGCCTGACGGGGGTGATGGTGGCTCCGCGCCGACCGTATGTCAGTGGTCTAGTAGAGACAGAAGCCCAACAACGTTGATTCGGCTTGATGATAGTCGTCTGATGATGGTGACCTGTCAGCAGTGGCAATGGCAGTGGCCCGACGTAGTGGTCTAGTGATAATGACTTGTTGACAACGGTGGTAGCCTGAAGTTGGCGGACAAGAGGTGGCAGTAGCTCGATGACAGTGAAAAACTTGAAAGTGAAAAAAGCACGGGGTTTAATATAGTTAAAATGGTTCCACTATTCGGATGTATGTTATAAGTACTTGAATATAAATATGTGAGAAAATACTGGGAAAGATGCAACGACCCGATAGGGATGATAGAAAACCAACTGTAGGGGTTGAGTGATGAAGATATGGATTCTTAACACCAATAGTTGTGATCACTAGTTAATTATGATCCAACAATATTAGTATCGATAGTCACGTGATTGTGATGTGACGAATGATGATTTGACAACAAATGTCTAATTGTAGCACATTAGAACGGTGGTCTTACAACAACTATGACAATGACAAGGTAACAATAACAACAGCAATGACATCAGCCACGTGACCGTGTTCCGGTGGTTGATAAGCAAAGGTAGTCTGACGACTGTGGAGGCCGAGAGATAATTACCCGACGATGGCCTAAAGAAGGCAGTCTAGTGCAACGACAATGACAATCGAGAGATGATGATTCATTGATGATGGTAGTCTGACGGCGACGAAGGCAGCCCGACGATAGTGATCTTATTATGGCAAAAGTGGCTCAATGTCAGTCGAGTGATATTGGTCATATGGTAGTGGTAGTCTGACCACGGTGGTCCAAAAAAGCAGCCTGACGGGGGTGATGGTGGCTCCGCGCCGACCGTATGTCAGTGGTCTAGTAGAGACAGAAGCCCAACAACGTTGATTCGGCTTGATGATAGTCGTCTGATGATGGTGACCTGTCAGCAGTGGCAATGGCAGTGGCCCGACGTAGTGGTCTAGTGATAATGACTTGTTGACAACGGTGGTAGCCTGAAGTTGGCGGACAAGAGGTGGCAGTAGCTCGATGACAGTGATTTGGCATAGTGGTTGTGGCCTAACATCAACTATTGGACACAACAACAACAGTCTGACACGATTACAGTGACATGACGTCGATCAAATGACGGTGGACCAACAACAAGTGCAGTTGGGCAGTAACAATTTAGTGAAGACGGTGGTCTGGCACTGATGGCAGTCCGACGATGCCAACAAAGAAAATGGTAGAGGGGACCAGAATATAGTAGTCCAGTGACAACAATAGTTAAGCGATGGTGGCGATGGGCAACGACAATCCTATGGTGTAGGCAGTCGGGCGACAACGGTTGTCGATGGTCCTATGGCCGATTCGGTCCAACGACAATGGTCTGGCAACAATAGTGGCTTGACTATTGTGGCCCAGCAACTGTCGAGCTCAGAAGTCCTCAAGAGCATAGAGTTCCCTTCAATCTTCTCATCCAAGTCTAGGCCCCCCTTCATGAATAGATTGAGAGTTTATTTATAAATTGTGAAATTAGCATCCCCGTAAAAAACTGTGAAAGATTCATGCAAGTATATACACATAAATACTCTATTCCAAATACAAATATAAAAATGTGCTTATGTGCATTCATGCATAAATGCATATGCATTGAGCTAATTCAAGTCAGATTGGGATCAGCTCAAGTTCAACTTAAGATGAGTTAGACTTATCAATTAGCATATTTGTTGAATCATGATTTGTTTGTGTGGGCTAACACTTAAGCAAAAGAGGTGGATCAAATGAGAGAGAGAAAATCGGCTGATCCCTTGCAACACAGATCTTCCTCTATTTATAACAGACTTTTTCATATATTACAAATTAACTACTCAGTGCACACAAATCCTCAAACATTTCTAATTTATCCTCTTATTCTCTTCTGACTTTGACATTACAACTATTCATTGCATTTCCCTAATATTTGTTGGGTCACATCTTTGTTGGCCTAATCAAATTTTGAGGAAATTCGACATTCAACGATTTAGCTTCAAAGCGAGTTGTTCTCCTCGATTGAGCTAACCTCTTAAACAATGAAACGGACTTGATCCCTCCCTTCATCAGGTGGGCGAGCAATCTCAACAAAGCTTCACGCCCATTAGCTGATCCTGAGAGACAAACTGGCAACTGATACTAGGCAGTTGGTGGATGGTTACTCGTATTCATCAACTCATCAGCTCGCCCATACAACTAGGCTAAGGAATTCAATGGCCTACAGTAGGGTCATAAATAAAATAATGGTGAAATATTTAACATTATAATTGACTAATTATAATTATATAACAGGAACACAATAGGATTTAAAAAGAAGAAGGCCAACTACATCTCAAAAGCTAATTATATTTATACATGATTAATACATTTTTACAGTTTTTAGTTCAAAGTGGCAAGGCCAATTATAAAAAATGAAGAGCTTAAAAAAAATGACAGGAAGCAAATTAGCATGCTATGTCTAACCTTCTAACAAAAAATTATGAAGAATCTTCGACCCACCAGCTTTTATCACACTCGAAAACGATACCTTCTGCGAGGCTTCTCGTACGGCCACGGCCGAAAAACTTGTGCACTATACTCATGGCGAAGTCCATCACGGTTCTGAGGCCCTTGCATGTAATCACATTCCCATCGATTACAACTCCAGCAGCACTGGAGACTGGGCCGGTGAGCTTGTTGAAGACGGATGGATGAGCCGTTACTATTTTATCCTGTTAGGATGAATTTATGTTTTAAGAAGTACAAACGAAAAATGAAAGAAGGATTCACATGCATAACATACAATTTTTATGTATTTACGTATCCAAAACCCAAAGTTTAATATTTACACTTATCACAATTTGATGTTATAAAACTAGGATTGAAAAAGGTTGTTTTTTTTTTAAGGTGATGTTAAGATTTGAGTGTAAACTTATAAATATGAATGCTTAGGTGTTTGGTATGTAAAAATATAAGAAAGACATGATATGTGTAAATGCACCAAAATAATAAAAAAAAAACAGTTATCACCTCGAGGAGGCCAAGTTTTTGTAAGATAGCAGGAGCTGAGCAGATGGCGCCGTATATCCTTCCAGATTCTTTCTGTTCTTTAAGCAGCTTCTTCAGAATCTTGGATTTTCCCAGCCTCTCAACACCTGCAGCACCACCCTGCAGTTGCAGTTATATATCAGGCTACATAAAACATAGGGGCATTTACATACATACCACACAATTCCTATATATATACATATATAACACCTAAACATTGTTATTTACAATTATACCAACTAAATCTTTCATATTGCTTAAAAAAACTGCTATTTTAAACTTTTAAAAGTGAAATACACCTTTTCATTCAAGCTCAGTAAAGGAGGTATACATGTAAACTTCATGTATTTATTTTATTAATTATGTTAAACAAGTTCAGGAAAGGAGCTACATCATATGAACCATGAGCCATAGCTATATCTAATTAGGATTAACCTTGCACTTTAGAGACATGATAGTTAATCATTAACATAAAATTAATATGAATTTTATCCTTTATATTTGTAAATGACCTTGTATGTATGGCTTGGATGATTTTGCCATTCATGAATTGCATATCTATAGCTATTCATATATAATTTTAGGCTTCATTGTATGCGCTTCACATGTTTTATGAAAATTTACTTGAATCATGCATATTGTACATTCTTATCCCCTCATCATCACAAATGACATTATTTTTTACTAAATAATAGGTATCATGAAGTAGTTCTCGATTTCTGTAATTGGTAATTTCCACAATTGATATTTTTCTTTTTGGCATTAGAGATAGGATGGTATTTTTCTAGCACGATGATTCTAACTTGTTTTATACATTACATGCAATTTAGTTTCATTAGTAATATTACATTTAGGGTGGGAATAATTTTTTTTTTTAAATAACCAACCATAAAGTTTAAAATAACTATTTTGAAGATATCAAAAGACAGAATTATTATATTGGTGTAAATCGTTATAAGAGAAGTTAGATTTATGCATGTAATTAAGGAAAGAATTGATTTGCAATATGCAAGTGAGGGAGGGTTTTAATTTTAACACTTTTACACCAACATTGATTTATCATCACATAGGAGTAGATTGTTGACCAATGGATCTATGTGACTCATGAGTGGCTCATTTTGATTTGATGAAAAGAAACCTTAGATAGCATCATCTAATATTTTGCTAATTATACGTATATGCAATTTAAATAAGTAACAGCCAAGATAATGATCTTATCCACTAGACTTGAGAGTTTCAGGCAGTTGGAAATAGGCTCAAGTGATGAACTCATGATAACTCAAGTGAATGTCCAATGTTGCATTATCTAGTATATGAGTTCTAAGCATTCAACATAAATTAATTTTAGTTAATCAATGATCTGTGAATAATTTTATTTATAAGTACTCAAATTAAATTATGAATTATTAAAAAATATACATTTTTATAGTTTATTTAGCTTGATTTCTATTGATTTGAAAAAGCTTACGATAAGGTTCCAAGATAAGTCCTTTAGAGAGTTCTAGAGAAGAAAGGTGTTGATATGACTTATATTCAAGTTATAAAAGATATGTATACTAGAGTTGTTACTTGTGTTAGAACAGATGGAGGATTGACCAAGTATTTTCCTATTTCAGTTGCATTACATAAGCCCGTATCTTTTTGCTTTAGTTATGGATGCTCTTACTGGACACTTATAGGTTCCAAGAGAAGTTCTTTGGAGAGTTCTAGGGAAGAAAGTTGTTGATATGACTTATATTCAAGTCAATAAAGATATGTATACTACAGTTGTTACTTGTGTTCGAACTTCTGGGATCGGCTTTAAGCCAATATCTTTTTGTTTTAGTTATGGATGCTCTAACTCGACATTTACAAGGAGTATATACCTTGTTCTATGCTTTTCAGTGATGATATCCTTCTTGTGGATAAATCTAGTGAAAGAGTTTTGGAAAACCTGAAATATGGAAATCAACATTGGAGAATAAAGGCATTTGTTTGAGTAATTTTAATAGTAATAGCTCTAGTGACAAGATTGTAATTATGAGTGATCAAATTATTAAAAGGTGTAAACGTTTTAGATAACTCGGGTCTATTTTTCAAAATGATGGTGATATAAATGAGGATGTTATTAGTAGAATTAAAGTGGATTAGTTGAAGTGGAGGAATGCATCCTATTGTGTGATAGAAAAGTACCGCTTAGACTGAAAGGAAAATTTTATAAGATGGTGGAGAGATCCGCAATGCTCTATAGCGCAGAATGTTGGCCCTTAAAAGAGAAGCATAAAATAAAGTTAAGTGTTGCTAATACTTAGGTGAATGAGTGGCATGAAAATTAGAGACGGTATGAGAAATAGAAATATCCATGATAAGGTTGGTGTAGCTCCAGTGACGGACAAGATTAGAGAGAGTCGTCTTAAATGGCTTGGTCATATTAAATGTCGGCCATCTAATGATCCTGTTGGGAGAGTGGATGTTTAGATTTGACTTATGTTAAGAAAGGCAAATGTAGACCTGAAAAAACTTAAGGCATGCTATATAAAAAATGATCTTAATCTATTAGAATTAAATGAAGATATGGCATTCAATAGGACACAATGGATAAAAAGGATTCATATGGCTGAACCCACTTAATAGGATAAAGGCTTGTTTTTTGATGTTGTAGTAGTTAGTTTGAATTCCTATTTAAATCTATTTTTGCTAATTAAATATTCATATATTATCTAATTTATTGATTATGTAATTAGTAATCATGTGTAGTTTATTTATCACAATGTTTTTTATCAATCATATGTTTAGCAAATTTATTAGTCTTTTGTTTTCCTAATAATTTCATTATATTTTGCTTATTACGCTCATGTGATAGGAGTTATAACCAATCATTAAATAGATAATTCTATTATTATTTGCTTAAGGAATTTATCTTAAATGTGCATGCCATTAAATATTTCTTAACGTCTCATTTATTTTAGCAAATTTATTTCATCCTTAGTTTTCCAATCAATCTATTAAATTGGTTAAATATGATTTTATTTTTTTAATTAGTAGTTAACTATAATAATTTTTTAAGGAATCTGAACTTAATTCTTATTTATTTTAATTCATTGAGTCAAACATATAATTTGATATATAATATCATATATATTTGTATTTAAATCACTTAATTATGATAAAAATAAGAAGGCCCCTATAGAGTGATTTTTTGGGATCTGAAAACAGCCATCTATAGTTTGTTTACACTCATCTCGTTGCCTACATAAACCGCTCATTTTTCTCTAGAAGTGCTTAACGAAAAATCTATGTTTGTGCGCTTTGTTTTTGCAATATGTGAATAAAAATTGAAGTAAAGAAGATCAAAGTATTCATCTGAAGCAAATTTCTTTAAGTTTGTTTAGAGATCTCTCCTTCAACCTCTAGTATCTTGTAGATTATTCTCTTTTGAATTTCTTATAATCATCATGCAGAGATTACATTTTAAATTTTGTTCGTTGCTAGCAGCCTTAAGTCGCCGCCATAGGTTTAGAACACTTGAGAAGGTTAAATTGGTTAAATATGATTTTATTTTTTAATTAGTAGTTAACTATGATTATTTTTTAAGGAATCTGAACTTAATTCTTATTTATTTTAATTCATTGAGTCAACCATATAATTTGATATATAATATCATATATATTTGTATTTAAATCACTTAATTATGATAAAAATAAGAAGGCCCCTACTCTATAGAGTGAGATTTTGGGATCTGTAAACACCCATCTATAGTTTGTTTACACTCATCTCTTTGCCTACATAAACCGCTCATTTTTCTCTAGAAGTGCTTAACGAAAAATCTATGTTTGTGCGCTTTGTTTTTGCAATATGTGAATAAAAATTGAAGTAAAGAAGATCAAAGTATTCATCTGAAGCAAATTTCTTTAAGTTTGTTTAGAGATCTCTCCTTCAACCTCTAGTATCTTGTAGATTATTCTCTTTTGAATTTCTTATAATCATCATGCAGAGATTACATTTTAAATTTTGTTCGTTGCTAGCAGCCTTAAGTCACCACCATAGGTTTAGACACTTGAGAAGGTTTTATTTAATAAACTTCTTTGCGATGAGGACAACTTAAAGAAGCTTTGGTGTTATTGTCGGGTCAAGAAGTCATTTTTTTCTCTATTGGTTTGTGAGCAAATAAGTGATTGTAGTGGTTAACTAGATATAGATATAGTTAGTTGAGTGTCAAACCAGGTAAGAAACTGAAGTCCAAATCTCTATAAGTTAGTTTACATTCCCTGCATATTTACAAAATTTAGTTGTTTGGTTGAATGTCTTCGTAGTGATGTTCATACTTATGTCCTTGTGCATTTTTATAGAATGAATCATCAATCTAATGTTTAAAAGCTTAGCTCTCACTTAAAGCATAATTTCCTTCATTAATCACCACCTTCAAGTGTGGACACCTGTTTATGTTGCTTTGTTGTACGATGATGTAATTGATTGTATGATTGTAAGTTTGTGCTAATTCTTTTATTATTATTATTATTATTATTATTATTATTATTATTATTATTGTGTTAATTAATTTACTTGTAGCTTGTAAGCCATAATAATTTCACACATAGCTTTGGTTTCATTGAACAACTTAGATCATTTGTTTTTATCTTGTAAGTTGAGTTTATTATCTGCTTAATCTTATACAATTTAAGTGATTAAATTATTCAAATGCCTATATGTTGTCCAATCACTCAGTTAAACTAACCCATACTCATACTAGAGTTGTAAGTTTGACTTTAGCTTTTATTTTCAAGTTTTTGAGTTGGGAAGAAGTATAGTATATATCTAACAAACTCCTCACCAAAAGTCTTACTTCTCAATTGCTTCAATTAGGTATCCTTTATTAGCAGTATATCCTTTGCAAATAGCATAAATAAAAAAAGATTCAAAAGTAGTAAGGTCCCTTTGGAGGTTATGCCCACTAGTTCAAAATAGGTATATCAACCTAAAATCTTAGATTAAATATCTCCAAACAAAACACTTACAGACAAAAATGATGATCAAACGGCAACAGAACATGATGCTAGATCAAACAAGTAAAAAACATCTTAAGGTATTAGCCTAAGTTTGCCAAAAGAAATAAATAAGAACCTTTTCTTTTTCCATTTTTAAGGGAGACGCTAGAAATTTGGAACTATACAATGATAATGAAGTAACCTCGAGAAGGCGTTCAGATTTCATCAATACACTTTTAGAAGCTTGTTGATATTGGAAATTAAAACAAAAATAAACTTAACAATTTTAAAGGTTGCATAGGAGTCCAAACATCACAATAAAGATGAATATATTAAAAATAGATCAAGCATATATAAAATATTTAAAAAATACTAGTACATCATGTAAAGTATCAAAATAGTCTCCTGACTCTTTGCACTTGGTCATTATAGTCACAAAGTTTACACAAGTACTAATTTAGTTGACATATGCTTTTAGTAAAGGCTGAAATAATCTCTATGGAGGACTATTTTAGCCTCAATTTAAAATTTTGAGCACTAAATTGACACTTATATGAACTCAAGAGCTAAAATTGCCCCAAGTAAACAATCAGGGACTATTTTAGCACTTTACTCGATTTTGAGATGGGACATTGAATAATTGTGTTATAGCTTTAAGTTATATTGTTGTATTTAGAAATTCCATAGATCATAAATCCCAATAAGATCATTTTGAAATGACAAGCAAATGCTATTTGACTCTAAAAATTCTTCCAAATACTTTCTAATCACTAATCCAATTTTTGTTGGCCATTTTATTTTTCATGATACCTACGAAACTTGCATCAAAATCTGGCCATCGCTAATAACAATCTTATACAAGGATAATTTCCTCATCTGAATACCAATCATGAGAAATGGACCATCCAAATAAAGGCATTGCATGCATTCCAAGAAATTTTGGAAGTTGCTTATAAAGGATATAAGAAGCCTCAAGAACTAAAACGCATCACTTAAGAAGGAGATGCACTCCTAGAAATGTAAAGGAATTAAAACAGCCCTATATTTTATCCATTAATAAATAAATGAGTCAATATTCAAGAAGGCTATCGACTCTACAACTTCCACGGATGCATGGAGATTTTTCAAAATGTTTATAAAGAAGTAGAGAAAGTTAAAAAAAAAAAAGAACTAAGATCCAAACTCTTTGGGGTGAGTAGAAGGCCATGCATGGCATCCAAAATGTGTCAGCCTATTTCACAAGAGTATTAAACATTATCAATCAAATATGGGTAGAATGACATTGTATCAAGATATATATATGGAGCCTATATATTCCTAAAATATCATTTAGGAATAATAAGTCGAGTTATTTAAGCTTAAAATCATGTCCAAATATCATTTATATTTCCTCTTTCAATTTGTGCTCTCTCTTTTTTTTCTCCTAATTTCTCTCAGTGACATCTACTCGACAACTGTCAAGTTTAATGCGAAACGCAAACCTTCATCAACTTTTTTCTGAATCACAGTAGTTAATTGCTCAAAAAGACCAATCTCGAATGGCAAGACAGCCTCGAAGTCTCTGAGTTTGATTTTGTTATATTATGAGAGAGAAAGAGTACTAAAATCCAAAAACGATGAGAAGAATCAAAATATTATGCAAAAATATTAAACATGAAACTTTGTGGTAATGTATTGTTGATGAAAATGCCCAAGACCGAGTCATTTATAAATGCATTAAATAGTATATATTATATATATATATATATAGTTATTTAGATAGATAGATAAATGGATAGATAGATAGATAGATAGATAGCATGCATGCATTATACAATTCTGCTCTTATGTGTAAAACAGTTCATATCACAATGAACTAAAAACAGCTAAAACAGGCTCACAATTATTACACAGAATTGTATTTCATGGTTAACATGCAAAAATTTAAATGGCAGCAAGGAGAATCAAGCATTATTTTCTAAATAAAAGAAATAAATGAGCTTTAAAGAAAGATCCAACTTACAGGCAGAATGATCAAATCATAAGTATGCTCAAAAGAATCGGCAATAGACATGTCTGCGACAATGTTCGTGTTTTGAGACGCTACAACCTGTAGGCATTTCTCAACAGACGCAACGACAACATCCACCTTCGCCCGCCTTAAAATATCTACCAACATCACCACTTCCATCTCTTCAGAACCATTTGCAATGGGAACAAGAACCTGCTTATGAGTTATCAGTTAGTGAATTTACATAAAAGATCCTAATCCAGAGCTAGTTGAGAAGTATTCCCCACATCCCATCAATAAGAAACTACAACCAGTTCATGTAGTCCTGAAAATAATGAAAATGTGCATACACTCCTAAAAAGAACTATAAAATTGTGTTCCCCAAACCCTACATGATTTCATATATATATATATTACATGTGACTGCCTCTTTATTAAGAATGCATGCAAGAAAAGTAGGCAAATAATGTTTTTTTCCCTGAGTTAGAAATTTTAACCCTAACTGACAAATTCAAGTTTGTTCTTATTGAAAAATTTCAGTGGGGGCATCCACCTATGAGTTTTGATGATCTCAAATTAGCAGGAAAGTAGAAGGTAGGACTCATGGATGAGAGACATGTATTGATTCAGTTAATTGTGTCTGAAGACTACACTCAAATTTTCTCCAAAAAATATCTTAACATTGCTGGTAAATTAATGAAGCTACTCAAGTGATCTCTGAATTTTGACCTCAATCATGAACCTCCTAATGTACAGGTATGGTTTAGTCTACCTGGTCTCAAGCTTCACTATTTTCATCATCAAGTTCTTTATTTTATTTGTATCATACTTGGAGACCCTATGAAGTTAGATCTACCTACTTTCAACCTTACCAGACCTTCTGTGACCAAAATACTTGTGGAAAAACATATTAATTTACCTGATGTCACTGAAGTATGGTTGGGCACAACTCATAATGGATATTGGCAAAAATTCATCATGGAACATAGACCTCTTTATTGTTCTCATTGTAAGATGTTTGGGCATACCCTTAATAAATATCATAAGTTTCATCATAATTTGAAATCTAAAGATCAAGTGAATAAGAATAAATCTAAGATATATTTGTTCCATTTGGAGAGAAAACTACCACAGGACAGGATTTGGTGTCTGATTTAATTGCCTCTATGAACTCCCCTGATAATGTTATTTTCAAAATATTGTTTTTGCGATCGATGAGCAGCTGGATGGCCCTGCTGAGCAGCCTACACTTTCAAACCTTATTGAAAACAGAACTGAAGGACCCCAACCTACACGTAATAATTAGGAGAACCTTGCAGCTCCCCATCTTCAGGAAGTATCAAGGGTAGAGGCGACAACTGTTACCTCACATACATTTGAACCTCTTGTGGGCACAACTGTTGGCAATATTTTTACTGCAGCACTATCATCTCATACCAATGAACAACAATCTTTGGATGAGGAATAACAGGTCTACACTTCCAGGAGGAAGAAGAAGAATGAAGATCTACCTGAGCTAAGGAATCTAATAGATGATACTTTGGTTACTTCGGGCAATGGTACGCATCTCACCAATTACCAATTTGTTATCTCACAAATTTATTAGTTGGTTCCCTTCCGACAGACAGAGACAGAACTAAATTGGGTCGACCCGATTGATCTTATATGTATCATCTTCTTTTGGGTTTTTAATTTTCTTTTTTCTTTTTCTGTGTGTTGTACCGTGTAGGTTGGGTGTCTATTTGGGCTCACTCATATAACATATTTGTACCTTTTTCTCTTTAATATAATTGCCCTTGGGCATATAATTAGCCTCATTGGGATTCAATTTTTTGAACCCTTCCTCATCTTTCTTTATGACCAAGTGTCAAACTTCGTTCACTACTTCAAGCCAAGTTACAATTGAAACATGATTGTGATTTCAAATCAACAACTTCTATTTCACCAATCTTTGTGTTCGACTTTCCTTTACACATGTTTATGATTTCATATTTAACTACTACTTCACCAATATTTGGCTCATCACCTACAATTTGTGGTGCCAAATCGAGTTTATGGGTCAGGCTCGGGTCTGACCTGAAATTAACCAAATGGCCAAACTCGACCCGAAGATTAAATGAGTCAAAAATTCAAACCTGAATTGGACCCATATTCAACCCGTCAACTAGAACCCGACCTGTATACATGTTTAACATAAGACATAGCCGCTGTTCAGGTCAATTTTAAATCAAATTTGGGCCAATTACAGGCCAATTTTGAGTTGACTGACCAATTTTGAGTCAATTTTGTGTTAGTTGGTTGATTTTTCAAGTTCGCATACCAGCCCGAACTCGCAACAAAATATTAAACGAGTTAGAATTCCTATATTGACCTTGAACCTAGCAGAAAATTATTAGGGTCAACCCGAACCCAAATTTCTTTGTGTTGATTCCGGTGAGTTGGCATGTCGGATAAACTTTTGACACTCTTACCTGCAATATAATGTGGTATGATATGGTTTTATGGCTATAAAACAACTAGAAAAGTTCTCCACAATGTAGAGTGAGAATAACAACTGAAACTCCATCAGCAAATAGCATCATGCATTGGGTAAACTGTTATTATGACCATAAAGTAATAAAACACTGCATTTTTTCTTGATCGCCTTGATGTAATTGTCGGCAGCATCCTAGTGTCTTTGATTGGAACTTGAAACATTTAAAAAATAGGGACATTACTGTTGACCTCAATTTTCGTGAGGTCTAGTTTTTCTCGTAGGAGTTAGGATCTAGCCTTAGGGGTCTTCCTGCGACTATCTTAGAGCCTTAGAAGTGGTGCCCGCCTCGTTTTAGTTCGACCTGTTTCCGTCCTCTTTTGGAGTTTCGCGTGTGTGGTATCGACTTCTAACACTTAGAAGGATGAAACCGACATGAGGAAACCCAAAATGGATTCCTATAAGACCTTTCCGAGCCTTAGGTTGGCCTTCTGCACAATTCGCACTCCTGCGCGCACCAGCTTTGCAATTCAGAGAGTCGACACGTCCGATTGCTGCAATTCGCATCGCCTGCACCATTATTTGCCGAGGACTCGAGTAAACCACTTGTGACGATCGAGCGCGGGTCGAATTTTGTGGAATTTGAACTTCGACGCGTTTTGACCTGACTGGCGACGACGTCGTCCGAGCGACCTCTGACGGCAAAACGGACTGCGCCGGCACGTCCGGAACGTCGATTTTGCCCACGGAGGACACCCATATTGCCATATTTTCGACACGAGAAAATTGGCGCGCAAATCGATGAATTTCGGACGGCGAAACGGACTGCGCCGGCACGTCCGGGACGTCGATTTTGCTTGGGGAGGATACCCATTTTATCGCGTCGCCGTGCTCGGGTAAATCGTATTTTAATTAATACATATATATATATATATATATATATATATATATATATATTTATATATATATTTATATATATGTTAGTTAACCCTTTATCTGTTTTCCCCCTTTCCTCTTTCGGCCCTAACTCCACTAACACACGCACCCGAGCTCTTCTCCTTTCCCTCTTCCTCTCGCCCGCCTAGCTCTCTCCAGGGCTGTGGACATGTGGGTGGCTTTCTTTTCTCTTCTTCTCTATTCCCTGCCTATAAGGAGAGTTCCTTGTGGTTTTTTTTGGGAGGTTGTTGAAGGTTTAGCTAGAGGAAAGTGGAAAGGAAATTCTGGGAGAGCATTTTCTTTGAGTAGGTTTTCTGTGCTGCTTTGCTTGAGCACTCTCGAGGTATCCCTCTCTTCCCCTTTCTTCTGGTGCCATGTTGCCTTGCGGTTTTTTCTCTTGGCCGAGGCTTTGAGCCTATCTCTGTTGGATGAAATAGCATGCTTTTTTCTTTTTTTTCTTGGCTGAGATGAAGTTGTGGTGTCGTTCTCTTATAGGAAGCTTGAGATATATCTTTGAAATGGTTCTAGCACTTTTGGCAAGCATGTTGAAGTTTCGGTTTTAGCTTTTTACCACCTGTTTTAGCTTAAAATGCATGATAAAGAGCTTCTTCTATTTCTCATGAATATATGGAGTTTGATTTAGCTCCTCATGTGGCATCACCCCTGCTCAAATACCTGTTGGAACTGTTTCATGTGTGGAATATTTAGATATGCAGGTTGGACGACCTGGTTTTTGCCTACAGGTGGCTGGAACTTTAATTGCTACTGAAATATGAGGTTATATCAATGCTTGGGCTTGTTTTGATCTCGTTGAGCTCGGTTTTGGCTTCTGGTATTTATTGAGCTCGGTTTTAGCTTACTGTTTCTTGTTGATTTTCGATTTTGGCTGGTTTGAAGTCACGGATTTGGCTTCGATGCCTTCATGATTTCGGTTTTGGCTTTGCTTGGCTTTTGCTGGGCTCGGGTTGGGTATGTTTAACCTCTGCTGGGCTCGGGGCTGGGCTCGGGTTGAGTTTGTCTAGCCTTGCTGGGCTTGGTTTGGTTCTAAGACAGGCTGTGTTGGCTCATTTTACCTTTGTTGGCTTTGATTTTATTTATAGATAGAGCTCGGTTTTGGATTTATTTCTTGCTGAAGCTTGGTTCAGTCCTAGTGGGGAGCTGTTGTCACTTTGTTTAGCCTCTGTTGGGCTGTGTGGATCCTGTCTGGCTCTGTTGGGCTGTGTGGATCCTGTCTGGCTCTGTTGGGCTGTGTGGATTTTGCCTGGCTCTGTTGGGCTGTGTGGATTTTGCCTGGCTGCTGTTGGGCTATGTGGATCCTGTCTGGCTGCTATTGGGCTGTGTGGATTTTGCCTGGCTGCTGTTAGGCTGGGTTGGCTTTGTCTGGCTGCTGTTGGGCTGTATGGGCTTTGTCTGACTTCTGTTGGGCCCGGATTGACTCGAATATTTTGGATGAATCAAGTTTGCCATCAAAAAAAAAAAAAAAAAGAAAATCGTATTTATTTCAGTCGTCTCTTCATTTAGTTGAAGAGGCATAGCTCCCTTTTGGTGGTCCTTTTGGTGGCTCTGGCCGTGAGCCCCTTGTGCTTTGGGTGGCTTCTGGTTATGGGCTTTAGTAGTTGCTCTTTGCTAGCCTAAACCGTGAGCTCTATTAATTCTTTTAGGCCCCCTTTATTATCCTAACTGTAAGTTCTATTTGTTGTCTTTAAGTTGCCCTTGGTTATGGGCCTTGTGGGTTGTCTCCTCTTTTCTGCTGACCCTGGTCGTGGCCCTTGCTTGTGCCTTGGGTTGTTGTGACTGTGGGCCTTGCTTATGCCTTGGGTTGTTGTGGCTGTGGGCCTTGCTTGTGGCCTGGGTGGGTGGG